TCATTATCCACAGGGATAGTAGCTAAAATGTTTAAAACTGCTGTGGTCCAACCATTATTTAAAAAAAAGCAGCATGGATTGTAATAATCCAAATAATTTTAGGCCAATTTCCAAATTGCCTTTTATTGCTAAAATTTTAGAGAAAGTGGTTTCCTCTCAGGTTTTAACTCATCTTAGCAAAAATTCGCTTTTTGAAAAGTTTCAGTCCAGGTTTTGTAAATATCACAGCACAGAAACGGCATTATTAAAGGTTGTGAATGATGTCAGGATGAACTCAGATGCTGGCTTTTGTACTGTCCTGATGCTGCTGGACCTTGCTGCTGCATTTGACACAGTCGATCATGATATTCTTTTAACTCGACTAGAACTTTGGTTAGGCTTTAGAGATACTGCTCTGGGCTGGTTTAAATCATATTTACAGGACAGATCTTTCTCTGTAATGTCTGGCAGCAATTCCTCCAGCTTAGCTATACTTACCTGTGGTGTTCCCCAAGGGTCAATTCTTGGGCCATTATTATTTTCTATTTATCTGTTACCACTTGGTCAGATTATTCATAAATTTAAAATCTCTTTTCATTTTTATGCAGACGATTCCCAGATTTATTTGGCTATTAACCCATCTAACCTCTCTACTCTCAATAAACTTACTTTTCGTCTTGCTGACATAAAAACCTGGATGTCTGACAACTATCTTTTACTTAATAATGATGAAACAAAGATGATAGTGTTTGGGTCAAAGACCAAAAGGGATCTTGTAATTCAGTCTCTTTCTAATATGGTTTTAACTGCACTAATGAAACTAGGAATTTGGGGGTGACCTTTGACTCTGATCTTAGTTTTTCTAAACATTTTAAGAACATAACAAAAACAGCCCTTTTCCAAATTAGGAACTTGCTTAAATCAGAGATTTTATTTCGTTCACTGATGCAGAAACTCTAATTCATGCTTTTGTTTCCTGCCATCTTGATTATTGTAATTCTTTGTTTTCTGGTCTGCCTCAAAGTTCTCTCAATTGTCTTCAATTAATACAAAACACTGCAGATAGAGTTCTTACACGATCCCATAAATATCAGCACATCACTCCGGTTCTGTCCTTTTTACATTGGCTCCCTGCGGTTTTTAGAATTGATTTTAAAATTTTATTGTTTGTTTTTAAATCTTTGAATGGTCTGGCACCATCTTATCTTTCTGAGCTTCTTAACCCATATATACCGTCTCGTCACCTAAGATCAGTTAATCAGTTACTACTTTCCTTTCCCAGAGCTTGACTGGTGACAGAAGGAGAGAGGGCTTTTATGGTCAGGGCTCCCAGTTTGTGGAATGCACTTCCACTAAATATTAGACAGGCTACCTCTGTTTTCTTTTAAATATTCACTTAAGACTTACTTTTTTAATAAGGCTTTTAATATTTGATAATGTTTTTTTTTATTGTATTTGATTTGGTATATTTTGTTTCATGTTGTCTTTGATGTTTAACTTATTTTTTAATGTAAAGCAC